TAGCCCTAGCCTAGCTGTTTTCCTGGTTTCTGATCTTCGCCTGGTTTCCTGGATTTCTCTCTTAGTCTTGCCCCTTCTGACTCTGTCTGCCCATCGTCGACCCACGCTAGCCCTAGGACTGTTCTTGTGTCTTGCCCACCATATACCTGTCTGCCTCTGTTTGACCCTGCCTGCTTCATGACCACGTCTCTGTCTTCTCCACAATAAAGCCTTGCAGATGGATCCGCACGTCTCACGTCTCGTCAGCTCTGTAACAGTAGTTCACCCCAAAATTATTTTAATTTACTCAAAATTATTATTATTTATTCGCCATAAGGTTGTTACAAATCAAAAAATATATATATTTTAAAGAAAGTATGTAACCCAACAACTGACAGTTTTTTCATACTATGGAAGTCAATGGGTACCGGCAATTATTTGCTCCCCAACATTCTTCAGAATATCTTCATTTGTGTTCAACAGAAGAAAGAAGCTCATACAGATTTGAAACAACTTGAGAGTTTACGTGTACTGTGTTAGGCTAACCGAGACTTGTCATTTGCACTTATATATTGTTGCTCTTTTGTTAGTTTTGACTGCTTTTATTGTCCTCATTTGTAAGTCGCTTTGGATAAAAGCGTCTGCTGAATGACTAAATGTAGATGTAAATATATGTATACACACACACACACACACACACACACACACACACATATATATATATACTGTATATATTTATATTTATATGATTAGTATTATTATTTTTAAGGTTTGAAGTAGAAATGCAAATTCAATACTATTAGGCACACTTGTTTTTCACAAGGGTCATACACACTAATCATAATTGTCAGCTAAACAACAATACACAATTTTCAACTCAGTGTTGTGGATACAAACCACACAGGCCTGATGTGTATAAGTTATAACTAGTTATTATTGGTACAATGTTAAACACGCTTTGTTTGAATAGGATTTTTTTAAACTTGAAAAAAGAAGCATTTTAAGGTAAAAAAAAAAATGAAAGCAAAGAAAAGAAAAGTGAAATGAAGAGGAAATAATGAAGGTTTTACACTGTTTCTAGATCACTAATCAAATGTAAGCAAATGTGTTACACTGAGCATGTGAACTCCTTTGAACAAAAATAGATTTCCTTTCTTCTTCGGATCATGCTGGAATCATTCGTGGATCATCATGAATGGATCATCAGCTTTTGCACAAACTAGTAGAGTCTCATGCCAGTTTCAATGATGCTCTCGTTAACATGGGCATAACAAATATGTTAATTTTAAACTTTTTTTCTTAAACTCAAATTATGCGGGTAATATTCTTTGATGTATTTTAAAAAAAACATGTATTAACAAATATGATATAATTATGTATTTATTTATGATATAATTATGTATATATATTTTTGTTTTTGTTTTGTAAAATCATTAATTTAAGAAGTGGTGTCAGCCTTATCTATAAACACATGCATGTCATAACTAGGGCGAGACTGAATGTATTGTTCTTGGTTGAAAGCCAGTGAGCAGCTACGTCACTAGTGCGATTGCTTTAGTGAAATATTACACACTTACAATTCCAGCCATCATACGTAGAAAAGATGCTGACAGCACTTGAAAGGTCATCCGTCTCACTATAAGGAGGAGGAGACGTCTGCAGAGAGTTTGTATGTGTAGTGAGCATTTCTCTTCATTACTTTACCGTGTAATGTCAGATTTCTGCTCAGTCTGATCTGCTGGAGAAGGAGGGATGTGTGAGGAGGAACGGAGAGGCAGGACAGTCATGAGTAGCAGTCCTTCAGGAACACCAGTCTGAGAAACACCATTTCAAGCAGACTTTACTCAGGTAGGTTTTCTTTCATCTTGCCAGGCCATTAATGAAATGAAATTTATTTGAGACATTAATGCATTGCAAAAAATTCATGCAAAAAAAAAAGATCTTTTGAAACTTTGCAAAAGCAGATTCTCATTTTGTTACCAAAGAAATCATTTGAGCATTACATTTTAAATAAAAATGTTAATATTTCTGCTTTAGACAGCATTTGTTATTATAATAAGCAGCTTGTTTGTTGTCATAAAAATTACAAATATTGATTAAAAAAAATATAGGCTGAGGTTGTGTATTTGCACATCTTATATGTATATTTATCATGGTTTACTGATAGATGTTTGCCGTGTAAATTAGACAGTTACAATACTTTAAGTGTTAATATTATACTGCAATTTAGGGAATTGTGGAAACTAATTCTTATTAAATTAATGCTACATTTATTTATTTAATTAATTAAGTATAGACGTGATAACAATTCCGTTTCGATTACAAGTCAATGAAATTAATCTTTTTACAAAAACGGCATTCCTTCGTAGGGATTTTATTTTATTTTGTTATAAATTATTTTATTATTTATTACATTTAAGTCAAGTCTATTTATTATTTATTAAGTGTGTTTAAAAATGGCTTATTATTGGTAATGCTAAGGTATTAGAAATGCTTATGGTTAATATATATATATGTGTAATAACTGTTGTGTGTATTCATCTGTTTTTGTTTATTAATTAATAGATGATTATTTTGAATGTATTCTGATCTGCAGTTGTACTCTTGCAATATAAAGCAAAAAAGTCACATAATGTCTTCTAAAAAGAAGAATATCAAATAATGTGGAATATCTGAACTGAAAATAAAGTGAACATTTGATTCAGGCTACAGGGGAGAAAACAAAAAAACATCTTAGATAGGATTTCTTACTAACTGTCTGACTAATTACAATGATAACCACAAAAACAAACATGCTATTCCGGAGTTTATTTCCATCTTCAAGTAGCCACTCCTGAACAAACTAAAAGCGCTTAAGAACAGGAACTCAAGTCTTCAGGCAATTAGATCTCCAGAAGCAGGGCTGAGCACCACATATTAAACATCTCATACCAACAGGCTTTGGTCTGTTTACTCTCATTTTAACTGAAAAGTATACAAGAGACCTACTTGTTACTGTTCAGAATATACACTGGCCGAAACTATGGCTCATGGTGGACCAATAGTGTTCACTCCAAACACAAAACTGTACCATTATTAATGTTAATTATAAATATTAATATATACAAAAATTATAAATAGGCCTACATATGTCTATTCAGAAGTTTGTTGCTGTTAAGGTTTTTTTTAGTTTTTTGAGAAGTTAGTTTATTTCATTAAAATATGATAAAAACAGTAATACAAATTAAAATGGCATTATTACTTTTTACAATTTAATTTAATTTGAAATAACTGTTTACTATTTGAATTTATTTAAAAATGTAGTTTAGTCCTGCAAAGCTGAATTTTCAGCATCATTACTCAATGTAACATGATCCTTCAGAAATGATTCTAATATGCTGATTTGCTGCTCAATTATTATTCATTATTATTGGTGTCAGTTATTAAAAATGGTTCTTTCTTATTATTCTAAAACCATTTTTGCTGCTTACTGAAAACCACCATTCACTTTTATAGAAAGTTTAAATGAATTTCAAAGGAAAGGATCATAAATGTCTTTAGCCTACTGTCCCTTTTGATCAATTTAATGCATCCTTGCTGAATAAAAGTATTAATTTCTTTCTCTCTTTTTTTTAATCTTACCCCAAACTTTCTGAAGGATCATGTGACACTGAAGACTGGAGTAATGATGCTGAAAATTCAGCTTTGATCACAGGAATAAATTACATTTGAACTTTTTCATCAAATTGTACTAATATTTCACAGAATGTATCTGTTTTACTGTATCTACCCTGCCTGTTTTTGCACCTGCTACACCTCTGCAGGTAATTTCCTGGTGAGAATCAATGATCCAGTACAACTGCTCGTCTCCAGACTCGCTGTACGCCGCTGTGAATGCGTCATGGTGCTCCACCAGAGAGGACGAATGTCACAACAGAACAGCGAGCCAGTCGGACCTCTGTCTGAGCCGCAGCGCTTACCTGGAGAAGTACCTGGGCCCTTGCCGTTCACCCTTCTTCCTGCCCATGTGCGTCACTTACCTGCTCATCTTTGTAGTCGGCGTGCTGGGCAACAGCCTGACTTGTATAGTCATCGCCCGTCACCGCGTGATGCGCACAACCACAAACTATTACCTGTTCAGCTTGGCCATTTCTGACCTCCTCGTGCTGCTGCTGGGTCTCCCGCTGGAGCTATATGATCTCTGGAGCAACTATCCCTTTCTGTTCGGCGTCGCTGGCTGCTACTTCAAAACCTGCCTGTTCGAGACGGTCTGCTTTGCGTCTGTGCTCAACGTGACCGCCTTGAGCGTCGAGCGCTACAGAGCGGTGGTGCATCCTCTGCAGGCCAAACACGTGGTGACGCACGCTCATGCCAAGCGCGTTATCCTCGTGCTCTGGGCCGTCTCACTGTTGTGTGCCTTGCCCAATACCAGTCTGCATGGTGTGGAGACATTTAAGCCCCGTTTTGGACTCACATTCCCCGATTCGGGGGTCTGTACCGTGGTGCACGATAGGTGGATCTACAACTTGCTGGTGCAGGTGACGGCGCTGCTCTTCTTCATCCTGCCGATGCTGACCATCACTGTGCTGTATGTGCTGATCGGCCTGCAGCTGCATCAAGAACGGGACTGTTTTGATTCAAAGATCGGGCTCAATCAGGATGGTGTACAGAGGGCACGTCATCGGCAAGTCACAAAAATGCTCTGTGAGTGCCGTTTCCACTGCTACACCTTCCGTTGGATGCTAGTAATGGTTAAATGAAAATATAGGTGAAGTTGTTTATTCTTTCAAAAAGATGTGAAGAAATGTAGCATTACATGGCTTGCTCAGCAGTGGATCCCCTACAGTGAATGGGTGCCGTCAGAATGAGAGTCCAAACAGCTGATAAAAACATCACAATAATCCACACCACTCCAGTCCATCAGTTAACGTCTTGTGAAGTGAAATGCTGTTTCGGGTGAAACAAATCAATCATTAGGATGTTTGAACTTCAATCAGTTGCTTCTGGCCAAAATATGAGCTCATAATACATAATAGCTTCCTCCAGTGAAAAATTCCATCCCCCGTCGTCTCTCACAGCGAAATCCACCAACATATTTGTTTAGAGCTGGACTGTTTTCGCTTGTAAATGGTAAAAAAAAAAAAAAATCCGTAAAATTTACGGTAAATAAACAGCAGCTGTGGTTGCCGGAATTTTACCGTAAAAAATACGGTAGCAACATTTTAGGTTTTACGGTTTTAACTTAAATTTACAATTAAATACCATAATTTCATTAACTGATATAATGTTAATATACCAACCTATTGAAGTACTGAAATCTGTTTTGTACCTTTGTATTACACTGATAACCACCAAATGCAGGAGGTGATGAGAAAGTCACATGATGAACCAAAGCCCATCACAAGCAGCTTTTAAATAATAACATGTATAGAAGGTGCACAGTGTCATTCACACAAACGCTAAACACCATCACGGTAACACACATGAAACTGAAATAATGCTATAAACATTCATTTAACAACATTAGGTGTAACACACAACCCTAATATACAAAACTGATAAGAAAAAACTAAGAAGAAACATAGTTATTTCAACACAAAAACATCTAATTTGAAATGTAACGCAGGGAATTCTGGGAATGTTCATTTACGGTTATTCACTGTAAATTATACGGTCTTTTTCACTTCCAAAAACGGTATACTACCGTAAAATTAATGTCCAATACAGTTTTTCACTGTATATAGTAGGTAAATTTACGCATTTTTACAGTCTTTTATTGTTAAATTCACGGTCATTTTTTACAGTGCAGAGGCAACTGTTTGAAGTTAAAAACATCTTAATGATGGACTGGAGCGGTGTGGATTACTTGTGGATTATTGTGATGTTTTTATCAGCTGTTTGGACTCTCATTCTGACGGCACCCATTCACTGTAGAGCATCCATTGGTGAGCAAGTGATGGAATGCTACATTTCTCTAAATCTGATCCCATGAAGAAACAAACTCATCTACATCTTGAATGGCCTGAGAGTGAATACATTTTCAGCAAACTTTCATTATTGGGTGAACTATTCCTTTAATCATTCAGAGGCAACATGAAACAACATTCACAACCCATTTTCCTTTCAGATTTCCAAGTGTAAACAAATCTATGGTCTTGGAAAGCCTGGATATATGAAGTAGAATAAGTTCAAAAGTGTGATTTCTTTATCCCAGAAAAGTCATGTAAAACCCATGGGTGTTATTTTCATACATTTTATGAATGTACATTTTTCTAGATATGCCAAGCTTTCAAATATTTTACTGGGTAGAAATTTGAAGTAAAAGAAAAATCCTCATCCTCAATCTTTGTCCAGTAAATATTGTTGTGGACGATGATGGGCCTTGGAGTCAAAAAGACTGGGAACCACTAGTATAGCCAATTGAGTATGATATTTTTGACTTTGAATAAATTCAGTTCATTTAGATATTACCATGAAGCACATTTCACAGGTTAAAATTAAAGTGTCCTCAGTGACTCCATCCCAAAAACAGAAACCAGAAACCAACACTTTAGATTAGTGAGCGCATAATCACCGTTAACTGTTAAGAGTTTTTCCTCAGTAAACTCCTAATTTACTGCTTACTGATAGGAAGTAAGGTAGATGTTGCAGTAGTAATGTTTAGGTTTGGGGTCGGGGAATTAAAAATGCAGAATATGTGCTTTATAGTACTAATAAATAGCCTGTAATATGCATGCTAATAAGCAACTATTTAAAAGTGAATCGTGAATGTTCCCTAATCTAAAGACAAAATTGTTTTACTTTGGAGTAATTTGCATAATGAGATCACAAATATGTATTAGGAAAGTAACAAGGGTCAATTTTGTCTTCATGTTGACTTTAATGCCACTTTTAACACTGGGTTGAGGAACGTTTAAACGTTTTGTTTGAATTTGGGTTCATCAGTATGGCGTGTCAAGGTGCATAATATCAGGTTTGTCAACATAATAACTCAAATCATTGCTTCTTAAATGTCGTGGCTCATTTTCATTTCTAGGTGAACTATTCCTTTAAAACAACTGAAGTAGACTTATGTTGCAATATTTCCACAGATGAATAAGCAACACATTGCATGCTTGTCTTACTTATCTAGTCGATGCTATTAATCTTGTAAATATTAAGAATGTTAACCCAAGGTTTAGAAATGTACGGTGTGAAATCATAAAACCTAGCAACTCAGGATTCCAGTGTGGAAGAACATTAATAACAATCTTCCAATGTTCATTATTCAGAGCTGAAAAACTCAAATATTCTTTTCGAAATGTTATGCTAGAAAAAGAGATAAAGAGTCAAATCCCAGCTTTTTTAATTATGACACATTCTTGTCCTGTGCGTGAGCTTTTATAATCTGTCCTGATAAACAGAAAATACTCATCTGTGCTTTATCAGCCGCATGCCATGTTATTATAAATACAAAGGGGATCTGATTTAGTAATAGCGTCAGTCTGCATCTGGCTTATTGTAATAGCTGGTCAGCACTACGCTGTGTGGCCTTCCTCAACTGATTTCAACATGTACTTTGATACTGAGATACAAACAAAATACTTAAGATCCAGTCATGTATTCTCAAGTTCATAAACACTGTCAGTAGTGCAGATGTGTGCCAGGAGTAACAGTTTGTTTAATAGATTTAAACACATCTGGACGCTTAAAATGTGTGAATGTCATTGCATTAGATAACACAGTAGTGTCTGCAAACAAATGATGTTAGAGCTTTTCTCAGAACTAACGTCACTTTTCATAGCCCATTTTTGCAATGACTATTAAAGGAATAGTTCACCAAAAATGACTTTTTGCTGAATATTTACTCACCCTTAGGCCATCGGATGCAGATGAGTTTGTTTCTCATCCAAACAAATTTGGAGAAATTTAGCATCACATCACTTGCTCACCAATGCAGTGAATGGGTGCCGTCAGAATGCGAGTCCAAACAACTGATAAAAACACAATAATCCACAAGTAATCCACACCACTCCAGCCCATCGATTAATGTCTTGTGAAGTGAAAAGCTGTGTGTTTGTAGGAAACAAATTCCTCATTAAGATGTTTTAACTTCAAACCATTGCTTCAAAAAAGTCATCTCATCTAAATCAGGAGAGAAAAATGCAAAAATGGTTCTAAACAGATATGTTGGAGGATTGAATGTAAGAGACGACAGGGGATGGACTTTTTCACTGGAGGAAGCATCATTATGGGTTATAGACTTACATTTTGGCCAGAAGCAATGGTTTAAGTTAAAATGCCTTAAAGGGTTAGTTCACCCAAAATGAAAATTCTGTCATTAATTACTCACCCTCATGTTGTTCAAAACCCCGTACGACTTCAACTTCGGAACACATTTTAAGATATTTTTTGAAAGATTACATCTGAAGGCTCTCTGACCCTCCCATAGACAGCAAGGTAACTACCACATTCAAGGTCCAGAAAAGTACAAAGATGATCGACAAAGTAGTCCGTGTGACATCAGTGGTTCAACTGTAAAGTTACGAAGCTACGAGAATACTTTTTTGCGCAAAGAAAACAAAAATAACGACTTTATTCCACATTTTCGTCTCTACTGCGTCACTTTGGATGCGCGTTCACGACAGATGATACTTTGTTGATCATCTTGGTAGTTACCTTGCTGTCTATGGGAGGGTCAGAGAGCTCTCAGATTTCATCAAAAATATCTTCAATTGTGTTCCGAAGATGAGTCTTACGGGTTTCGGACAACACGAGGGTGAGTAATTAATGACAGAATTTTCATTTTTGGGTGAACTAACCCTTTAATGATGGATTTATTTCTTACAAACACACATATTTTCAGTGGACTGGAGTGGTGTGGATTACTTGTGGATTATTGTGATGACTCTCATTCTGACGGCACCCATTCACAGCAGAGGATCCGTTGGTGAGCAAGTGATGTAACATTAAATTTCTCCGAGTCGGATTCCATGAAGAAACAAACTCATCTACATCTTGGATGGCCTGAGAGTGAATACATAACCTGTGTTTTGGTGATTTTTAGTGAATGTATGAATTGAACGTTTTAGTAAATGTATCAGGTTCACAATAGTCTCCTAAAAGTTCATCTCTTTATCTCTGAACATGATCCACTAATCTTAGAAAACCACTAAGTAATATAATATAAAATATAATATAATACATTTAAAAGATATCATTTGTTTTATTTATTATTATTATTATTTGGTGTTGAATTGAATTTATTCTACACATTTACTTTCATTTGTCATTTCTAAACACTTGCTGTGTATTTGACAGGTGCATTGGTGATTGTGTTTGGGATCTGCTGGGCCCCGTTTCACATCGATCGTGTCATGTGGAGCTACATTGATGACTGGACTGCAGAGAACCACCATGTCTTCGAGTACGTGCATCTTCTTTCTGGTGTCTTCTTCTACTTGAGCTCAGTGGTCAATCCCATCCTGTATAACCTCATGTCTTCACGCTTCAGAGAAATGTTCCGTGAGGTGGTGTGTCAAAAAGACCATCGTCAGCTCTCAATAAGTAAGGTCACATTACGTAGTGTTGTTTCTGCCTCTTTTTCTGCCTCCAATTCGGTCTCATTTTCTGTCAAATTCAACCCTCGTGGGCTGCCACACACCCTGTAGTTATTTTACTCAAATACTATCATTCATAGTTGCGCTGTCAAAGTATTCAATGCTGTGTATACAATTACATTAATGAGTGCTCATGTAATCATGTTAATATTCAGAGATACTGCAAAATAGCCAGTATACGCACAGATATATACAAAAACAATATATACACTTCCATTCAAAAGTTTGGGGTCGGTACAATTTATAAATGTTTTTAGGGAAATCTCTAATGCTCATCGAGGCTGCATTTATTTGATTAAGAATACAGTAAAAACTAAAAATATTATGAAAATATAATAAAGCTTACACTTTATTTTAAGGTGTTCTTGTTACAGTGTAATTACACATTTAAGTACTGAGTAATATTAATTAACTACATGTACTTACTATATGGTTAGGGTTAGGATTAGGGTTTGGCTTAGGGATACTTGCATGTATATAAAAATAAAATAAAGTGTTACTGAAATAATTGCTTTCCATGAGAATATATATTAAAATGTCATTTATTCCTGGATTTTCAGCATCATTACTCCAGTATTCAGTCACATGATCCTTCAGAAATCATTCTAATATTCTGATGATTTGATGCTCAAGAGACATTTATTATTATTATCAATGATGAAAGCTTCATATTTTTGTGGAAATTGTTATACTTTTTTTCCAGGATTCTTTGATGGGAAAGTTCAAAAGAACAGCATTTTTCAATAGAAATAGTTTGTAACAATACAAATATCTTTGCTGTCACTTTTGATCCATTTAATGCATCCTTGCTGAATAAAAGTATAATTTTCTTTAAAAAAAAAATACAAAATTAGACCCCAAATATTTGAACAGTAGCATGAGTGCACAAAAAAAATCCTCTTTACACTTTGATATCAAAACAGTATCATTTCAAATCTCATATAAAACACATTTTCTTGTGTTGTTCAATTTTTAATAACACATCAATGTTTTACTTTGCATGTAAACACACTTAGTGGTGTCATCAGATAAAATGAAAAACATTAAAAAAGTAATTTATATCAAGTAACTTATGTTTTTTACTTGCATGTATATAAAAATAAAATAAAGTGTTACTGAAATAATTGCTTTCCAGGTGAATATATATTAAAATGTCATTTATTCCTGGATTTTCAGCATCATTACTCCAGTATTCAGTCACATGATCCTTCAGAAATCATTCTAATATTCTGATTTGATGCTCAAGAGACATTTATTATTATTATCAATGATGAAAGCTTCATATTTTTGTGGAAATTGTTATACTTTTTTTCCAGGATTCTTTGATGGGAATGTTCAAAAGAACAGCATTTTTCAATAGAAATAGTTTGTAACAATACAAATGTCTTTGCTGTCACTTTTGATCCATTTAATGCATCCTTGCTGAATAAAAGTATAATTTTCTTTAAAAAAAAAAAAGCAAAATTAGACCCCAAATATTTGAACAGTAGCATGAGTGCACAAAAAAAATCCTCTTTACACTTTGATATCAAAACAGTATCATTTCAAATCTCATATAAAACACATTTTCTTGTGTTGTTCAATTTTTAATAACACATCAATGTTTTACTTTGCATGTAAACACACTTAGTGGTGTCATCAGATAAAATGAAAAACATTAAAAAAGTAATTTATATCAAGTAACTTATGTTTTTCACAGATATTTGGAAACAAATTGGTATATGTGTCATAGCCTTATGGGCAGCGCTCTGACATATGGTGCAGCTGTATCCAAACATATGTCTTTAAAAGAAAATGGTCAGTTAGTTCGTATATTTCTTCTCCGCCAATGTAAAGAAGCCAAAGCATCAAGTTTTACGTTACAAAATTAGACCCCAAATATTTGAACAGTAGCATGAGTGCACAAAAAAAACCTCTTTACACTTTGATATCAAAACAGTATCATTTCAAATCTCATATAAAACACATTTTCTTGTGTTGTTCAATTTTTAATAACACATCAATGTTTTACTTTGCATGTAAACACACTTAGTGGTGTCATCAGATAAAATGAAAAACATTAAAAAAGTAATTTATATCAAGTAACTTATGTTTTTCACAGATATTTGGAAACAAATTGGTATATGTGTCATAGCCTTATGGGCAGCGCTCTGACATATGGTGCAGCTGTATCCAAACATATGTCTTTAAAAGAAAATGGTCAGTTAGTTCGTATATTTCTTCTCCGCCAATGTAAAGAAGCCAAAGCATCAAGTTTTACGTGTCACCAAGCAACACACAGACTGAAAGCCGGACTGGAACAAGGTATGTGAGTGGAGCGGAGCGACAGAGATTTCCACTGAAAAACACTGATGCTCTGACTTCCAATAAAACAGCAGAGTATTGACAGTAATTGTAAATCTTAAGTGTTTCCAGTAACCAAACAAGTTTCCCATCATTCTCACTGACTGTAATATCTACTGTAGTGATGCCACATTTCATATCACTGTGATGGTGTGATGAGGTTATATTAGATATATATGCATTATATATGTTCTGTATTTGTTATAAGTTGTGTTCTACATGGTTAAAAAGTGCAGTTCCTTCTACTAGTGAGCAGGTCAGTGACACACAACGATCCACCGCATTTAAGACAACTTCTGTTCTGTAGGAATGTAGTTATCACAGTGAATGTGAAACATTCAAAATATATTATATAGATGAATGATGAGAGCTATAGCCTTGCCATGTTGATTCTGCAGATGTTTGTATAGTGATGTTTCTCTGAGCTCATTTTTAAAGGTGACATATCATGAAAATCTGACTTTTCCAGGTTTTAAGTGCTATAATCAGGTCCCCGGTGCATCTACCAACCAAGGAAACGTGAAAAAGATTAACCCAGTAACTTTGTTTTGGGAAGCCTTTTTCTGCAAGAAAACGAGCGCATCTGATTTCGCTCCCTTGGTGACGTGGCAAAGGGATCTCATTATAATATTACCGCCCCTTAATCTGTAAGTTTACACCCATGGCGCCGTCATTTTGATTTTGCAAGCGACAACGGTGTACTAGTTCTAATGCCATGGTGAACGTTTGAGCAAAACATGCTAACTGTTCTGTCTTTGGCTGCACAGACGAGCACCGAACACTATTTATGGCGCTTTTCCACTGCATGGTACGGCACGGTACGGCTCGGAACGGTTCACTTTTGGGGGGTTTTCCACTGGGTACAGTACCTGGTACCTGGTACTTTTTTTAGTACCACCTCGGTTGGGGTTCCAAGTGAACCGTAAACGTGACGTGTAAACTCTGCTGATCACGGATTGGCCGGAGAGGATCGTCACTACCTGCGTCACTGAACTTGTGACACAAACACAACAGAACCGATAGATTTAAATCAGCACAGCCAGCGAAGGATCGAACGCAACTGTTTTGAACGAGCACACATTTTTTTTTAACAACCAAAAAGTTTTGTTGTCTGTTGAGGAAGTACAGACGTTCCTCTCGTTGATAGCAGAGGAGCGGATCCAGCGAGAGCTTGATGGGGCGACGCGGAATGAAAAAGTTTTTTTTAGGAGTTGTGGTAGTAGAGGCAGCGCAACTATAACGACATGTGAAAAAATCCCGCCAACTGTAAAGCGGTACTGAACTGCAGTGGAAACGCAAACCGTGCTGAGCCGAACCGTGCCGTGTCGAGCCGAGTCGTACCACGCAGTGGAAAAGCGCCATTAGAGTCCCAGCCTCAGAGGAGACAAGAGAGCAGTGGATTTATTGATTTATTTACTGTATATTGCTGCTGCCACACAGATCTAAAATAAACATGTGATTCATTTCCCAGCTGTTTACCTTCACAGACATAACCCACTGTTTTTGTAACTCATGTGTGTTTTTAATGTAAACTTGTGTGTGAATGAGAACTTCGTTTTATACTCTCATTCTGTGACAGCCGCTTTCTGTCCGTGTGCTTCGGATGTGTGCTCTCAGAAAACCCTATATCAGAAGTTTAAGCTCATATGGTTTAAACCGCATGATTTCAGCGCGATAAACATGATAATCAGAACCAAAACAGATGTTTTCAGCAGGTAGGAGCTGTAATGGCGCAGCTCTATTCTGGAAAAGGGGGCGGGGAGCAGCAGCTTCTTTGCATTTAAAGAGACAGGCCCGAAAAACAGTGTGTTTCTGCTGTTTTAAAATTATAAATGATATAATAAATGATCTGTGGAGTATTTTGAGCTGAAATTGGGAGCAGCAGCTTCTTTGCATTTAAAGAGACAGGCCCGAAAAACAGCGTGTTTCTGCTGTTATAAATTATAAATGATATAATAAATGATCTGTGGCGTATTTTGAGCTGAAATTTCAGACACATTCTGGGGACACCACAGACTTATATTACATATTGTAAAAAAGGGGCATAATATGTCTCCTTTAAGGATGGAATGCTGATGATAACAGATCTCTCCAACTCCAGTTTATTGGTCTCCGCCACCTGTTTACTTTTCCATCTTTATCTGTCTGCTTCCTCCCTACATGACGCAGAGCAATACATCAGCTGTCAGATCCAAGATTATAAAAAGTGCTTGCATTTCACTGATTATGTCATGGGACATTGTCAATGGCATAATATGCTAAATAATGTACATATTTATACATTATTCTAAGTAATGTAAATATTCCTAATAGCCAGATCTGGAGGATAAGTACAATATACTTTGAATAATTTGTCATTACACTTAATATCTTGTTGTTGTTACTCATGTTCTTGTTTTTAAATGTTTTTTCAATTAATATAAATTCATTTGTATTCCTACATAACATGTTTATTTCAATGCTTTTTATTTCTTCATGCTCGGAAATCTAATCATTTTAGTTTAACTTAATGTTGAACACTTTCAATGAAATATGCATCCTTATATCAAATGCATTAGCTATCCATTAAAAAGAACAGAAAAATCCGTTGAATTGTCATTGTTACACTTCTATGTTATAATAATGATTGTATTAAAGTTAATGTGTGAAAACACTTCATAAGAACTGCACTCATTTTTATAACCTGCTATGAAATATCACTGTGTTTCATTCCACCAGTTAATGCTTTAATAAAATAATAGCTATTATTAAAACTGACTTTTTTAGCATTTAAGTATGAAGTATTTGAAGTCATCCTCTGGCCCTCTCAGAAGTCCACTGAGGCCCCCCAGTGAGATCATTTTGAGGGAGTTTATAAATCGAAGGCAGTGTGTTGTGTATTAAAATTTTTTTTATTTTTGGTGATTGATTCTTCCATCATTGTACATAAACAAAATTGCAGAAAACAACAGTACATCTTCTATACATTGCATTTCTGAAGTCTGCAATGCATGACCGTAGAGAACTTTGTAACATCAGACCAAACTTATAGGTCCTATGATTCATTAAAAAAAAGAATATCAGAAGTAGCACAAGTAAACACATAAGACAGACAATAGCCTTTATACCAACAAACAACATAACAAATATAGCATCTTATTAATAATCTTCCCCTTACTACAGAAAAATGTCTGCCAGAAAAAAAAATCCCCTTAAATACAGTCCCTTTAAAACAAGTACAAACAATGAGAACTGAAATGTTATGTCAGTCAGTAGATTTTCAGAATTTGACCAACGAAACTAGACAGATTTCTTGGAGGTCTCCTTTACAGCAGCGTACTTCCTCTCAAACTGAGCCACATCAAACTTCCGCTTGCAGCCAGCATAATTCATATAGCGAATTTTGCCAAAGATGGACCTCTCTGCCCAGCCCTGGTCATGGATGCCACAGATGGACCACATGCAACCTGCAAGAATATTAAACAAAATAATTCATATAATCAAATACAAAAAAAAGTTCAGTAAGAGGTCAGTTTTTGAAAGACGTTTCTTATGCTCACCAGGGCTGCATTTATTTGATCAAAAATGTAGTAAAATCTGTAATGCTGTGAAATATCATTACAATTTAAAATAACTATTATTTTTATTTAAATATATTTTAAAATGTAATTTATTTCCGGTGATGCAAAGCTGAATTTTCAGCATCATTACTCCAGTTTTCAGTGTCAAATGATCCTTCAGAAATCATTCTAATATGCTGATTTGCTGCTTAACAAACATTTTGTATTATTATTATTAATGTTGAAAACATTTGGGCTGCTTCATATTTTTGTGGAAACTGTGATGCAATCACATTAAATCTTTTGTTACATTATAAATGCCTTTACTGTTTTTGCCTTTACAGTTTTAACTGGTTTGATTCATTTAATGCACCCTTGCTAAAAAAAAAAAAACTAAATAAAATAAAAAAAAGTATGAATTTCTTCTATTCTTTCATATATATATATATATATAAGCTTACTACTACTTTAATAATTTATTATAAGAAATGTATTTGATGTGCTAGAGCAATCAAAGCATCAGGTTTCTCACCCACATATCCGTTGGGATCGCAGCCGTCTAAAGACAGATGGTCATTCAGATATATAGCAATAGAGAGGGCTTCTTCAGGAGATGCAGTCCATTCCAGGATCTTCTTTGCCCAGTACATGCGCAGAAACCCATGCATCTTCCCTTCTAACACCAGCTGACGCTACAACACACCAGGAGACTTCATTTCAATGCATTTACTGGCTCGATTCACTGGGTTTGCCATTACAGCAGTGGCTTCGAGAGTGGCTTCGACAAAAACTATACTATGAAACCACCAGACAACACACTTCAATTAAAGCGTTTCAAGTGAAACGCTAATGTTGAGCTACCTGTGCAGCGTTCCACAGCTGGTCATGGGTCTTGGCGTTCTCCAGCTGCTCTTTTGTGTAAAGGTACTGTCTGCAGTCCTTAGCGTGATCCTGCAAAGTCTTCTTCGCCCAATCATACGCACCTGTGAGATATACAATTGAAAACTTTTTGAGACCTGCAGAAAGCCTGCGAGCGATTAAAGCGACTGACACAGCGCTCACCTGAAATGTTGTCATAGTTGTGGTTGTAGAAGCAGAAGTTGTCGGCGAGCTCCCGGCGCACCACCAGCTCCTCGGTAAAAGACAGCACAGACTCGCTGGCGTTCTTTTCTCGTTTGACCTGCTTCACCACACGCTGAGCAGACAACTGACCTTCAAGAGAAAACATGCCAACTATTAGAACCCCTAAACTACATCTAGAAGAAAGTGGATGGTGTAAAATAAAGATCAAAAATCATTCTCTCACTCTCATGTTTTTCCAAACCTGCAGGACTTCAGTGGGTCACAAAAGAAATTGTAATTTTTTTTTTTTTTTGGTCATTCCAACAATATTGTTTTGAACCCCATTTATAGCACTGCATGAATATCATTAAAAAAAAAAGCACTAAGGCCCGGCTTTTTCTACACGGTTAGGCCGTTCGTCCACACGCAAACGCAGCACCAGGTCACTGAAACCAACCATTTTTGAAAACGCCTGCCAGGGTGAAGATTTTCAAAAACCCCGGTTGCAGTGTTATCGTGTAGACCGCGAAACCGGAGTTTTTGGCTTGTGACGTCAGCTCCTGCATGGTTATCTCCGCCTACTGGAGACTTTTTCAGGCTTCTGATTGGCCAACATGGCTTTACGGTTGAGATTATATCGCCACCTGTTGGTTTGGCATGCTCTTGATGGCGAATCATAGCATGCGTTTGCGTTTTCATGTGGACGGAGATTTTTTTAAAGGGGTCATATGATGCCCATTTTCCACAAGTTGATATGATTTTTGGGGTCTTAATGAAAAGTCTGTAACATAGTTTGGTTAAAATTTCTCAATAGTAGTGTAAAAAACACTTTTTTTACCCCGTCAAAAACAGCTCTTTTCAGATCAAGCCGTTTTTGTAGCATTTTCCTTTAAATGTTAATGAGCTCTGCTGCCCCCGCCCCTCTCTTCCGAGCTGCTCTTTTAGAGAGACTGTTTACTTTAGCCGCATTCATCGTGAAACTTGCTAATTAGCACATTATTAGGAAAGGCGATTTGCAAAGATTCATTACAAAACATTATACTCACTTCTTCTGTAGATGAGGCTGGATCACGAATGATTCGCGCGAACGTAGATCGTAGATCGTAGATACGATCAATCTATGATAAATCATAAATTCATGTAGATCGGGGGAGCATTCCCTTCAGAAACAAATGTAATCCACTGCAAGTTCAGCGCCTCAGATATCAGGAGTAAATGAGGACTGCGGTGTTCATTATTACATCCAACAACAGAACACCTCAATCGCTTAGGACTCATTCTTGTCTACATCTGCTCCGGCGGTGAAACAATGGCGGACTGATGACAGTCACTCAGGGCGGAGCTAAGGTAAGACGCCAGTCCAGTCTGTGCTGAAACACTACTGTCAATCAAACTATCGTGGGAGGGGCCTGTCTTTGTGACGTCACACAGACAGGCATCTGAGATCGGCTCGATTTGAGAAAAGGGGAAACATTTTACCAGATTTTTTTTAAAAACACTGGGTGGATTTTTATGATTATAGGGTGGTTGTGTACACACACTGCCAACACACATTTCAGTTCAAACAACTTGTAAAAGTGCATGTAGCATCCTATGGCCTCTTTAAAAATGGAAGAAGGAAAAACTCCCGTGTACTTAAAAATACCCGTGTACGTGTGAACATGACATAAGACAGAGTGTAAACTGACCGGCGTGGATCCATGGGGAGAGATGGCTGAGGGCATCAAAGTTGGGATTGTTTCTGTGAGTGGCAAAGAGACGCAGCCGTTGGTCAATGAAGGACTCCAGCATGGCCATGCCGCCACAGGAGCCAGGCTGAGCCCAGTCCACCTCTCCAACACTGCGCTCCACCTCAAGACACGACAGCACCTCCTCCCAGTCCACTGGCTGAAACACAGATTTTGAAATGAAGAAGATGGGAAAACACCTTTTATGTAGAACAGGGATCCTCAAATCTGGCCCACGAGATCAACTTTCCTGCAGAGTTTAGCTCTAACCCTAATAATACACACCTGAATATCACAGGTAGGTGAGTTTGATCAGGGTTGGAGCTAAACTCTGCAGAGCATTGGCCCTCCAGGGCAAGATTTGAGAACCAGGGTTTCAAGTCATAATGCATTTGAGAACGCTAACAATGAACAAAACATAAAACGTGCTTCACAGATTACAACAGGCAAGTGATCAGCTAAGGATAAAAAAAAAAGGAAAACCAGTTTTTTCCCCATTCAATACAACAACAATAATAATGCAAAAAATAATATATTATTGTTGTTATTGCTATTTTTAATCATAATAATTCAATTCATTCTAATAACGAATAATTATTATTCTTTAAATATTTTTAGCTTTTTTTTTTTAAATACAATTAAATATATAAATGAATAAATACATTATCCAAATCTACTATTTTACTGCAAAAAATGATTAAATAATAATAATAATAATAAACAATATATTATTTAATTTATTATTATTGTTATAATTTTTTGGGAATAATTCCATTTATAATAATAATTATTATTAATACTAATCAACAATAATATTAATAATAATTAGTCAAAACAATTTAGTCAAATATTTTTATTATATATTATGAAAATAAAATCAATTAAAGAATACTATTTCAAATAAATATATTAGATATAAATATAATAATAATGCAAAATATATATTATTGTTTTTATTGTTGTTGTAATTATTATTATTAATAATAATAATGATAATAATAATTACTTCAATTATAATAAGCGTTACCACTAGCTAACAACAACAATAAAAATACTTATTATTATTAATAAAGAAATATTACCATTCCACTAATACTATTGGGCTGAAAAATAAAAAATATATACATATGAAATGGTAACCTACATTCACTCAAGTTTTTTTCTTATTTTTTCCCCCTCGCTTGTTATTTTAATATTTAAACAATTTTCTATTTTATTTCATTTATTTTATTAAATCCATACATTTGAAATGTATTTGAAAATCAGCATTTTTTTCATCAGATTTGTGCAATTCATACGATCATACTTCAGGTCAGAACCCATCTACAAATTGACATAAAAACGGAACAATCACATCTCTGGAACAGCTACAGTAGAACCAGGGTTTCAAGTCATAATGCATTTGAGAACGCTAACAATGAACAAAACATAAAACGTGCTTCACAGATTACAACAGGCAAGTGATCAGCTAAGGATAAAAAAAAAAGGAAAACCAGTTTTTTCCCCATTCAATACAACAACAATAATAATGCAAAAAATAATATATTATTGTTGTTATTGCTATTTTTAATCATAATAATTCAATTCATTCTAATAACGAATAATTATTATTCTTTAAATATTTTTAGCTTTTTTTTTTTAAATACAATTAAATATATAAATGAATAAATACATTATCCAAATCTACTATTTTACTGCAAAAAATGATTAAATAATAATAATAATAATAAACAATATATTATTTAATTTATTATTATTGTTATAATTTTTTGGGAATAATTCCATTTATAATAATAATTATTATTAATACTAATCAACAATAATATTAATAATAATTAGTCAAAACAATTTAGTCAAATATTTTTATTATATATTATGAAAATAAAATCAATTAAAGAATACTATTTCAAATAAATATATTAGATATAAATATAATAATAATGCAAAATATATATTATTGTTTTTATTGTTGTTGTAATTATTATTATTAATAATAATAATGATAATAATAATTACTTCAATTATAATAAGCGTTACCACTAGCTAACAACAACAATAAAAATACTTATTATTATTAATAAAGAAATATTACCATTCCACTAATACTACTGGGCTGAAAAATAAAAAATATATACATATGAAATGGTAACCTACATTCACTCAAGTTTTTTTCTTATTTTTTCCCCCTCGCTTGTTATTTTAATATTTAAACATAATTTTCTATTTTTTTTCATTTATTTTATTAAATCCATACATTTGAAATGTATTTGAAAATCAGCATTTTTTTCATCAGATTTGTGCAATTCATACGATCATACTTCAGGTCAGAATCCATCTACAAATTGACATAAAAACGGAACAATCACATCTCTGGAACAGCTACAGTAGAATCCTTGATCAAACCTTAGCTGTACGAGAAGCAGAGTGTGGGTGAGTGTCCACAAGAGGAATCTCTGAGAGGAATTCTGGCAGAAGTTTAGTGATTTTGCCTCGTATCGTCCTGGCTCCATATTCCAGCTTCTCAGACGCTTCCCAGCAAGGCACCAGAGCTCATTGAAGAAACCGTTTACCTAATATGAAGCATGCACTTCCGAACACGTGAAACCAAATGCACTTTTGATAATTCTGTCGCTGTACAATTTTCTCACGTGCAGCTGGTTTTGTAAGGCGGGGCTTACGCTCCTGCTGTGTTACCCAACGATTCGTTTTGCATAACAATAACAAAGAATTTGCTGCACCAAATTTGACGAAGTGCACTAATTTCGTGTTGTTGGATCGTGTAGGCAGTGTGTTGTTTGCGTCTTTATTTCTGTCATAGCGCGAACTGCAGAATGAGTAAATCTAGTTATAAATCGGTCGGCGGTGGAAGTACAGAGGAACTCGATAAGGTTGACATGTCTTTAGGTAATGCCACAGATCAAACTAGCCGTGTGTGTGTGTGTGTGTGTGTGTGTGTGTGCGCGTGCGTGCGTGGTGTGCAGCGCAATCAGCAATCTCTGACCTCTCTCTGTGTGTGTGAGTACTGGTTTATATGTCCTGGTGGGGACTTAAACCTGACTACACACAGACTCATGGGAGCTCGTGTCACGGTGGGGACCTAAATTGTGGTCCCCACGGGTACATAGAATTTAATGGTATACTTGCTATGGGTACCGGCTCATACTGGGGTGGAGGCAAATGAGGAAGTGGACTGCTTGGCTAAGATGGCTCTGAAGCACTCACAGTGAAATTAATATAACAATTAGCAAGTCTGAAATCAAGAGAATAATATCAACTGAAGTAAGAAAGATATGGCAACAGATATGGGATAGTGGAATAAAAGGAAGGCATCTTTACCAGATACAGGGGTGTGTAGGTGAAGAGAGAATAAGAGGTGGGAGTAGGAAGAAAGATGTTATTATAACAAGAATGAGGATTGGACATTCAGCTTTAAATTTCAATTTACACAAAATAGGGGAAGCATGAAAATGGAAGATGTGATAAATGTGGGAATCCAGAAACAGTAAAGCACATTCTTCTCGAATGTGATGTGCATGAAAGAGAAAGAAATCAACTTAATCCTAAATTAGGTTTGATGGGATATGATAAAGTATCACTCAAGATATTACTAGGGAATAGACAAATGCAATCAAGAATTAAAGAAGAAGTGTTCAATTATCTAAAAAAAGACAGGAAATATGGAAATAATATAAAATGTAATTGTGGTAATTTTTTTTTCCTTAAAAATATATATTAATATATATTTATATATCCTCCTGAGAACCAGAAATAAAAAACTTTGTGAATTTAGTGTTTTTTCATGTCACTACGTTGTTTAGAGCATAAGAAAAAAATGGTAAAATAACATTTTTGAAAAATTATATTTTATTCATAAGATGGAGAGTCCCCACAAGGATAGCTGACCAGACGTGTGTGTGTGTGTGTGTGTATAGTTGATTAGTATTGTGACATTTTACATGTGATTTATCAGTGTTAACATTGCAGCAATCTCTTTGTATCGTAATATAATATGTATCATCACCATTATCGGTGTTTTATTGATTGGCAAACGTGTTTAAAGATATATCTTGACTGTGTTTGACCGCATTTCCCGACCATTTAATATCTGAGTTAGAGTTGTTGCATGTGCAGTACCTTGTGAAAGTACACATGAAATACGTGGTGCAGGAGAAGACGCAACTCAAGTCCACATCAAAGCATACATTTGCCAAAAGGAACTCAAGTTTCAGATGAGATTTTATGGTCATATGAGACCAAGATGGATCTTTTTAGGCAGAATTCAGAATATTGTGTTCTACCATTCAAGTTTGGGGTTGTTAAATTAAGCATTTCAAAATAAATACAGCCTTGAAATGCATTAAAACGGTGATATTTTTTAAAAGTTACAATTTAAAATAATTGTTTTAATATATTTTAAAATATAACTTATTCTTGTAATGTGAAGCAGAATTTTTAGCATTATTACTCCAGTCTTCAGTGTCACATGATCTGTCAGAAATCGTTCTAATATGCTGATTTGCTGCTCAAGAAACATGTATTATTATTGTATTATTTTTGTGGAAACTGTGATACTTTTTTTTTCTCAGAGATCTTTGATAAATAGAAAGTTAAAAAGGACAGCATTTATTTGAAATAGAAATCTTTTGTAATATTATAAATGCCACTTTTGATCAATGTAATGCATCTTTAAAGGAGTCATATGATGCGATTTCAAATTGTCCTTTCTCTTTGGAGTGTTATTAAAAAATAAATTAAAAAAGGGTAAATTCTGACTTTGCTATGACGATCTGGTGCTTCTGAATCAGCGACTGTAAGTATGTTTTGTTATTAGTTTAAGTATTTGCTATTGACTGTTCAAATGCGGAGTTTTGCGCAGCACAGAGTAACGCGTTGTGTGTGTGTGTGTGTGTGTGTGTGTGTGAGGGGAACAGGGTCACATCACAGGAGAGTGAACTGTCTGTCAGAAATCATAGCACGTCAGCTGTCTTAACCGCGGCTTGTGTACTGCACCATCACTGTGTCTGTCACACGACTCTGTTGCCCTTTCAGGCTTGAACTGATGGTAAAACTAACGACATTATTTTGATTATTCTTCATTATTCATTATTTTGATTATTCTTGATATTTACTTTGAAAGCTGACGCTCGCGATTATGGTAAGGGGCGTTACATTTCCAACATATTCTGTTACACCAAATACACAAAATAATGATCTTTAAAAAAAAGCATCATATGACCCCTTTAAAAGTTTTAATTTCTTTTTTTTTTTTTTTTAAGACACATGTATACATGAAACAAATATATTACAGGCAAAATGTCCATGTAAGATTTGTAACTCAGTGAAGCGGGAGAATTAAAGTTAGAAATTAGGGTGGGACTTAATAACCAATTGAAATTAAGATTTATTCATTTTAGTGCTGTCAAACGATTAATCGTGATTAATCGCATCCAAAATAAACGTTTTTGTTCACATAATATATGTGTGTGTACTGTGTATATTTATTATGTGTATATATAAATGCAAACACATGCATGTATATATTTAAGAAAAAATGTTATGTTTATATAATAAATATATTTATATTTATGTATATATGTAAATATTTTCAAAATATGTACTGTATGTGTGTGCTTTTATATACATAATAAATAAATATATATATATATATATATACATACATACATACATACATAATAAATATACACAGTACACACAGATATACTTTGTAAACAAAAACTTTTATTTTGGATGCGATTAATCGCTTGACAGCACTAATTTATTTCTATTGTTTCCAAGTTGTTTCAATGTGAAAATGATTGCCTTTTGTTTTATCATCTGTTCTGTACAGGAATGCTCCGACTGCTCAGCAAACACAGAGAGAAGCACGACAGGCCACCTTCCTCTTCAGAAGAGGACTCAAAGTAAGAAGCTAATGAACTTCCTGCCTAGAGTTGACACAGAGATGTGTGAAAAGCACAGAAGCTGTTCACTTTAGCGCTTGTTGTCACTAGCACGTGTAGGGAAGATCTGGGCAGAAAGCTGCATGCATGGGTGCTGATCATGTGACACCCTCTTCACATTTTAAGGGGCCATTTGTTTCACTTAAATATGTAATGTAGTTAGCATACATGCTTAAAGTGTTTAAAAACTAGTTTTTAAGAATATGGTTGCTCTGTAGTATTTATAGAAATGAATGTGTACCGTACACAATGAAAGTGTTCAAAGCGTTTGGTTCTTGTTATAGTGAAAAGTGTGAAATTTAAATTAGAAACTGGTCCTTTCATCACTAGAATTGGCATTAATCTGTTACTGGTTTGTGTACTACTCTTGTGAACCATTTTAATGAATCACAAAAAATAATCAAACCATAGGCTATTTAATTCATATCAATCCTTCGCTGAATAAACTCAATGAATCAAAGTCTCTTTAAATGTTATCCAGAATAAAGCAAGAATGGTTTTATGTTTTCAATCAGTGACTGTTCATATGAAAATGTATTTAAAATGCATTATGAATTTAAAGATAAGCCAATTAAAATATAAGAGCACTGATTTGGCTTCCTATCTATTAGTACTTTACAATTTTTTTTTTTTTTTTAATAGGTTCATACACAAGTTCAGAAGACAAAGTCTGCTCAAGCCACACAGAGAACGCGCTCGTAAGTAAACATTCTTCAATTTAATTTTTTTGCTTTTTCTGATTCAAACTACTACACCACCGTTCAAAAGTTTGGGGTCATACAGATTTTTTTTATATACTTTATTTTAAATAATTTTATTCAGCAAGGTTGCATTGAATTTGTAAAAACTGTCAGTAAAGACATTTACAATGTTACAAAAGATTTCGATTTCAAATAAATGGTGTTCTTTTAAACGGGTCCTATTATGCTCTTTTACAAAGTCTTGATTTTGTTTTGGGGGTGTACTAGAACACGCTCTCATGCTTGGTGCATTATTTTTCACATAATTTACATTATTAAAATCCCTTTCCCCCCAGCCTGCCACAAACGGCTCGATTAGTTCCGGCTTTGATGAAGGTCCGCCTTCCGAAAAACAAAATGTGTTGTGATTGGTTAGCTGTCCCAGTGCGTTGTGATTGGCGAACAGCTTAGACGGTGTTTCAGTACTGCCCCGCCCCCTTGCTCCGTCTTTCAACAAAAGCTTTTGGCGAATCCGGCACTGTCCTCCCTCGTGTTGTGGAAGCTGTCCTCAGTAAAATGCACAGCACACAATAGCAAATTGGGGTTATAATGCTCAGGAACAGAGTTAAAAAATAAATTGCAACCACTGTTTCCTGACATCATCCACTTTCGGAAGCCCAAACAAAGACGTTTGGGCATGGAGGTGAAAAAAACAGCGTTTCAGGCGGTCGCACACCGGAAGAGAAGCGCAGCGTCGCGCCACATCTTTAAAATTCAAATACATTATTTTAAATGAGTGTAGGCACACCGGCGGCGTCTGTCCGCGGCGCCCAGCTACGTCGTGTTATACTTGTAAGAATTGTTCTAGACATGCCGAAAATTTGACGCTACATCACAACAGCTCTTCTTCATTTTCTCTGATGCACTAACTCTGCAGCAGCTCTTCTTCTTCGTCGTCTCAACCAAGCTTCTAACCACAACCTCGACCCCTCCCCACCATTCAAATTTCTATAGGTGGGAATTATTTTTAATGATATTCCAATGAGCCGCTTTGTGATATCACAAAGCCCGGAAAACAAACGCTGTAGTCCAAACGAGCCGTTCGCTGTAGTTCTTGAAAAGGGATTTTTAAAAAACGAAATATCTCCCTTTGGAGTGGACTTTGAGAATTTTAACTTTCTAGATCTTTTTTTATGCTCAAACATACACTACACACTGACTAAAATAAAAAAAAAAGTGAAAAAGCATAATAGGACCCCTTTAAACTTTCTATTAGTCAATCCTGAAACAAAATGTGACACTGAAGACTGAAAATTCAGCTTTGATCACAGGAATAGATTGCATTTTAAAATATATTCTAATATAAAAGTTGTGATATTACAACAATACTGTTGTACGTGTTTTTTTTTGTGTGTTTTTTTTTAAGAAATGAATGCAGATGTTGGAAAAGTAGTGTAGATGCACTGTAAGCTGTTCCTGTTAATAACTCTTACTGATTTCTCCTCTCTTCTCCACCAGGTGGCGCACTCCTACAAACAACAGTGGCATCCTCACTGTGTCAATAGACAACCCCACAGCTAGAACACAGCCTGAGTATGATTACATTTGATTAGACCCAGATGCACAATTTCATAAGACATACAATAGTTGCCATTCAGATATTTGGATTTTTAATTGGTGTTTTTGTATTTCTAATGATACTCATTAAGATGTTCAGATAAGATGCATGTTCTCACTAACAAGCCACACATGTTTCCCATCCATTTGTTTCCATCTTGTCTTGTTAGTTTGGCAGGTTTAACCTTTGAGACTCTCTCCAGCATGTTGTGAATGTGAGTCTGGGAACACAGAAGTAATGATGTTTGGTTTCGCTCCGCACAGGCCGGCTCAGTCCTGGTCCCTGCACCCCGTGACTCCAGCACGCCCCTCACCTCCTCGAGAGGAGCCGGAGAGGAAACCTCCTAAAGGTGTCACCCTGCAGTTTGATATCAACAGTGTTGGGAAACAGGTAGGACAAATGTGACCCTGGACCACAAAACCAGTCATAAGTGTCCGTTTAAAAAAAAAATTGAGATTGATACATCATCTGAAAGCTGAATGAATACGCTTTCCATTGATGTATGGTTTGTTAGGATAGGACAATATTTGGCCGAGATGCATTATTTGAAAATCTGGAATCTGAGGGTGCAAAAAAAAAACTAAATGAAAATATTGAGAAAATCGCCTTTAAAGTTGTCCAAATGAAGTTCTTGGCAATGCATATTATTAATCAAAAATTGAGTTTTGATATATTTACAGTAGGACATTTACTAAATATCTTCACGGAACATGATCTGTACTTAATATCCTAATGATTTTTGGCGTAAAAGAAAAATTTATCATTTTGACCCATACAATATATTGTTGGCTATTGCTACAAATATACCCGTGCTACTTATGACTGGATTTGTGCTCCAGGGTCACAAATATCAATCGTATTTATCATTGAGTCAATGAAATATGTTTATAGTAAATTTTAAGATGTCCTTTGTTACAGTGTAATTATACATTTAAGTACTGAGTAATATGAATGAACCGTCTTGTACTTACTACAAGGTTAGATTACGGTTGGTTGCATGTGATTATATATAATTTATTGTTATTACTATAGTAAGCACATGTAATGAGGACGCTGTAAAATAATGTTATCTTAAATTGACATGCAAGAATGCATTTGTTTTGCATAATTCAACACCAAAAAATTACTGATGTATTGTTTGTTTGTTTTTTACCAAAACGCAGAAACCTAAATTAAAGATTGAATGTAGCCTAAAACTGTCCCGAAAAATAAAGTTGATCAAATTATTTAATAATCAACACTTATAACCAGTACTGTAATTACAATTTTTTATGTTTATGAAAGAAGTGTCTTATCAAGGCTGCATTACAAACAGTATACACACAGTAATATTGTGACATATTTTAACTATTTAAAACTACTATTTTTTTTTAATGTAATTTAAATGCTGGATTTTCAGCATCATTACTCCAGTCTTCAGTGTCACGTGATCCTTCAGAAATCAGTCTGATATGCTGATTTGATACTCAAGAAACATCTCATTATCAATGTTGAAAATAATGGTGCTACTTAATATTTGTGTGGAAACCGATACACTACTATTGGCGTTAGAGTTAAAAAATGTTAATACATTTATTCCGCAAAGATGCATTAAATTGATCTAAAGTGAGCGTTTTTAATGTTACAAAATGTTTGTTTCTTTGGAGCTTTCTATTCGTCAAAGAATCCTGAAAACAAAATGTATCATAGTTTCCCCAAAAATATAAAGCAGCACAACTGTTTTTCAACTGTTGTAATTATTAATTATAAAATTAAGCATAAACTAGATACTGAAAAAGTGTGCCATTGGAGAAATGCCAATGAAATGCAACGGTTTCTTTTATTTATTTATTTTTGTCTGATACAGAAAATTTGTGGTTGGTGAAATTTTGGTGCATTACTTCAAAGAAAGAAAAAGTAGTGTTTATTCTCATGAACCAATATCTGATTTGTCCAACAATTTGTTTGAATCACCTTCATGATCTTTTTTTTTAATCCAAAAAACTAATGTAAATCTCTGACTACATTTACATGCACTTCAAATATGAACTCTTCCAGCACTGAACTTCAGCCGGTGTTTTGCTTTCCTCTTTGAAGAAAAAAACCAAACTGTTCCAGATCAGCCGCTAGAAACGCATTTACCTCAGTGCTGGTGAACCTGATGGCCGTCTTCATTGTTGTTCTTTTCTCTATCAGACTGAAATGACCCTCAACGAGCGGTTCCGCCTCCTGAAGGACCAGCGTGTGGCGGCAGCACAGCAGAGCAGCAAAGGAGGCCGCTTCGTCACTGTGGCCTAGAGCTGAACTCTCTGTTCCTGTGTGATCAACAACAATCCTACAGGACAGAACAGGCAAACAGCTGAACTAACGCTGTTCATGACTCACAGTGATTAGCCCTAATAGAGGAGACTTCATCAGAATGTGGATATGCCGGTTCTCTGGAGAAGGAGACGTTGGGGAAGTGACTGATTTTTTTTTTATTTTTCTAAAAAGCTGCCATGCTGTCCTCACAAAGCAAGTATTAACTGTCGTCCCTGAGTTTCAGTTACGTTGTCGTCTCCTGAGCTGCCCTTGGTATGTGATGGCATCCTGTTTTTTTTATATATATGCATAAAGTTGTTGCAGCTCTATGACTTGAAACATTTCTGGATAGACTTGGGTTTTCACAAAGCAGATGTATGAAACAGAACATTCTTTTTGTAGAGCAAAAAAAGACTGTTTTAAGATGTTTTATATGATTTCAAATTAAAAAACATTGTGAAACGTGTCTCGTTTTTGATAACCACGTTCCGATTAATGACACTTTAAATGCATTCTTTGTAAGAGCCTTTGCATGGGTTTATTCATGCAACACTAAGTAATTATTTGTTACCCTGTTCCACAAAACCAGTCATAAGGGTCAATCTCAATTTTGAGATTTAATAAATAAGCTTAAGAATAAATAAGCTTTCCATTGATGTATGGTTTGTTAGGATAGGACAATATTTGGGTGAGATGCAACTATTTGAAAATCTGAGGGTGCAAAAAAATCTAAATATTGAGAAAATCATCTTTAAAGTTGTCCAAATGAAGTTCTTAGCAATGCATAATACTAATCAAAAAGTAAGTTTTGATATATTTACAGTAGGTAATTTACTAAATATCTTCATGGAACGTGATCTTTATTTAATATCCTAATGATTTTTGGCATAAAAGAAAAATCGCTGATTTGACCTATACAATGTATTGTTGACTATTGCCACAAATATACCCCAGCGACTTAAGACTGGATTTGTGCTCCAGGGTCACATCTGACGTTTTAATAGTGGTTCATTTAGGTAGGTAATGGGGAAAATACAACTACAATGCAATTAAATAGTGCATCTAAATGTAGTTTTTGACTATAAATGGGGTACAGGAAAAATGTGTATACATTTCTAAATATAAAATTAATAAAACATTGTTAAATGTATTTGTATCGTAAAACAAAATTTTGTTTTCTGTACTTAATAAATTCATTGCATCATTTAAAACTAATTATTATTTCAAATTTTAGTGGTTCGTAAAAATTTAGTAAAAGTACTTTATTGGGGACAAATACTACAATACAATTAAATAGTGTAATACAGGTGAAATATTACTCATTTGCATCTAAATTTAGTTGTTGAAACTATAAATGGGGTGGAGAAAAAATGTCTATAAAATTCTAAATATAGAATCAATATATAACATTAAATATTGTTGCATGAGTTCTTTGTATCTTAAAATTTGCTTTTTTTCACTACTTTATACATAACTACACTTAGTTTTAAAGGGGTTATATGATGCTGTTTAAAAGAACATTATTTGGTGTAATGAAATGTGTTTAAGGTTAAAAAAAACATTTTCCACATACTGTACATTATTGTTTCTCCTCTATGCCCCGCCTTCTGAAACGCGTCGATTTTTACAAAGCTCATCGATATGAACAGCGAGGTGTGCTGTGATTGGCCGAATGCCTCAAGCGTGTGACGGAAATGTTACGCCCCTTACCATATTGTTGATGCCGTGTCCCGGCCGGAGCGACCAGACAAAAACATTAAAACCCATTATAAACGAGGCATTCGTTGCATCCAGTGGGGACCAGAGCATGTGAGCGGAGCGGAGCGTGAGCGGAGCGGGGAGCGGAGTGGTAATATTTCCTTAAGAGCGCAGAGCGTCTTTCTGAAGATTCCGCTCCGCTCGCTCAAAACGCTCAGCACCGCTCGCTCAACCCAGAATGCCGTTTGGTGATTTGCTTGTTCGAGATCGAGAATAGTAGAGCAGTTATGGAGTTCAGATATTGTTTCAACGAAGTTGCAAGCCTGTTTCCTCTCAATGTGGAGAAGTCTGCCTACGGTGAAATCATGTGAGCCTTCAAGTGCGAAAATAATTATCATGGTGCATAAAGCAGAAACAAGAGCGTCGCAGACAATTTCACACCCTGTTTCTAGAGTGCACTGCTGATACAAACACTACCAAACAGTTTTGTAATTTGAATATTGCATTTATTTAAATACATTAAAATTTGCAATGTAACAAAACTATTGGCATATGAAATTCAAACACCATTTAAATGAACGAAACATGGCTCACTTCATTTTCTGTGGCTAGTGCGTCTCGCACACACTAGTCTGTTTTATCTCCTTCCCCGGCCGACACTATTCACAGACTACTTACAATATGAGTGCCCAATACAAATGAGGTAAGAAAGTGGTTTGACTTTTACAGATCATGCAGAACACATGCCTAAAAAGCAACAAAAAAAGTTTGAGAAAAAAAAAAAAAAGTACATAGAGTGTGCATAAAAAATGAAAACAAACAAAAAAAAGAAAGACACAGCTTTGAATCTTTGGTTACAAAGTAGGTTGAACAACTTCACAGTTTTTTTGTCTTTTCAATCCCCTTCCCGACCCCAAAAACCTACGAGACATCAGGGCAATATGGCAACTGACTTCATTTTCCAACATCCTACAAGCTTTCTTCATCAGGGTAGACCATTGAGGATTCAGTTTAGATCTTCGCCCACAAACCTGTACAAACTTGTCACGCTCTTTTTATCTTTACACTATACACAATGTATATTCACACCAGGTTCACATTCTTAATCCACAGAGAAACGCCGCTGTTAGTGTTTAAACTCTACCCACTGCTACTCGGTCACGGTTTACGCTTACATTGACGATCGATACTGTAAGACTGCCACTCGCTGTCGGATCGACGGGTTCTGTGACATTGTTCCTCTGGGAAAATAGCAGCCCTATAATAAATAACAAAGAATACAATTGAATTGACGGGTGAATCGAAATCACACTAAATACGGTGGCTCTGAAAATAGACTTCTCGCTTCGAAAACTGCAATGCTAAAAAATACACCTCTTTCATGGCTGGATTCTCTTTATTAAAAAAATAACTCTTCACAATTTGTCCAGCTGGTCCGGGGCGGGGCGAAGGGGCGACCGTGGTCCGAGGGAGCGAGATGGGTTTCTGCTGCTGCGGTGATGCACAGGCTTCAGGCGGAGGTGACGCTAGGCTGCGGCTGTCGTGGCAGGGAGTCTGCGCTCTGGTTGGAGTCCAGCTGAAGGTAAGGCTGAGGCTGGGCTTGGCCCGGGACGGGAGCGCTGGAGCTGGATTGGACGGTGAGCTGAGAGAGCTGATCGTTGTTGGCTAGAGACTTGAGCACTGCGTTCTCTCGCTCCAGCACAGAGTTCCTCTCGTAGAGCTCCTTGATATGCTCCTTCAACACCTCCACCTCCTCCCGCACAGCATACATCAGATGGCTTTTCACTAAATCCTGCGTCACGGTGCCAAAACATGACATCATTTCAGAAAACGGTACATCAGAACCAACATTTGCCTAGCTCATTTGTTTGAACTATTACATTCTTAAAAATAAAGGTGCTTAAAAGGTTCTTCACGGCGATGCCATAGAAGAACCATTCAGTCAAAGGTTCTTTAAAGAACCATCTCTTTCTCACCTTTTTAGAATCTGAAGAACCTTCTTTCGCCACAAAGAACCTTTTGTGAAACTGAAAGGTTCTTCAGATGTTAAAGGTTCTTTATGGAACCATTTAGACTAGTGGTCGACCGATATATCGGCCGATATATGACATTTTTCAAATATCGGCCGATAAGTTTTTCTGTTTGGCAGATGCGTTCGAGGCGGGACTTTTATTTTGACTGTGCTGAGAGCGGCAGCGCCTGAGCACGCAGTGCTCACATTCTCCCTCTTGTTCGCTGTCGTCGTTAACAGTTCTGTCTAATAAGGATAGAAGTCTGTCTAATAATCCGATAGAACAGTTAAACAAAGGAATTAAAATGTATACAAAAAGTATCATAACGATTGCTTTTATATTATTAGTAATAGAAAGGCAAACATTATAATACTTTCTCGTTTGCCGTCAGCATTCAGCAAATACGCATTTACATTATTTAAACAAATCTTTGAATGACTAATGAAAATTTTATTTCACAAACCTTGCAAACTTAGTCGAATCCACTTGTAAGATCTTGTGAAGTGTGCATGTGACCTTCATGATTGCGTGTTCTTTGCATGACTTTCGGTCCGTGCAAAATGAATGCTTTAAACATTTAATTTGTGATTTCAAATTATGCTGCGCTTTATGCATTTGCCCACTGTCATATTCATGTCATTTTCACTGTGTGCTGTATGTAAAATGAGTGTTACCTTGGCTTTATTTGAAAAAATATGATTCTCAATGCACACAAACTTCCCAGAATACTGAGTGCTCTGTTGGTTACAGTTTACTTCCTTTTTAATTATATTTTTATTAAATATTTATTTATTTGTGAAAAATACTTTGTCATCTAAAGTATAAGTATGTTTACTCTACAAATAAATTTTTTAATCCATTTTCAAATTTCTTAAATATTAAGTAAAATAAATACAATTATATCGGCTTTATATCGGCCACCCTGCTTTACAAGATATCGGCAGTCAAAAAACCAATATCGGTCGACCCCTAATTTAGACCAAAAAAGGTTCATCTATGGCATCGTGAAGCACCTTTATTTTTAAGTGTACACACTGTCGTGCATGATTCTGCGGAACAAAATCCAAATCTGGTTTCTTACTAACTTTGAGATGCTGGTTTTAAACCTAGCACCTGTTTTCCTCCAGCATGTCATGTTTTTCTCAAAATATGCATTTTGTAGCATTTTCGCTGACGACAGCCGTTTTTAAGGTGAAGTCGTCTTGTATTATCCCTTGATCAATAGAAACACTGCCACAAATACATAATTCCCATCTTCCGCTGAGCCAGATTATAAGGATTTGTTCAATTCTCAGCAGATTTTCAAAGGTATGAATGATTCTGAAGACATTATTTTATGCCTCATCCTGAATTTAATGTTAGAATTATGGTCAGTGAAAATGCAAACATGATCCAGATAATTTCTGCTACATCTGTGGGTTCTATAACAGAATATTACAGATTTTGTGAAAAAATGCTTTTTAAAAATGTTTTTCGACATTGAGTATTTGAACATTTTTCCAATATTTTTCAGATTGTACATTATACATTTTGAATTCTTTGTCATTAAAATTTTTTAAACTTGACATTAAAGCATTAGTCATTAAAGCTGATACATATATTTAATTTGAAAAATCTTTTTTACATTTTTTGCAGGGCTGGGATGCACGGCTGTGTTGTTTAAATTTTAAAATAAAAAATATATGTATATATAAAATAATAAATAGAAAATAAAGAGTATATAAATACATAAAATGAAAAACTTACCATTGC